TTGGTATTATAAAAAATAAAAATATTGCCGTATAAGCGGTTCCCTTGCAGATGGACTTCTCCACTGCGTGACTTTTTCTTTTGTTTCCACAAATGTGGCTACAGCCGAAAACGGGGTTCTTTTGCAAATTATTTGAAGCATCGCACCGCATGACGTTACTCTATCGGGTAGATTCTATTCTTTAGTAACGTAAAAGAACTAGACAGGAAGGAATCCACCTCATTTCCACGTCCATTATCTTGTACGTAGCATACCTATAGACTTTCACTTGTTATCAGGAATCTCTTTCTTCAAGCGATTGTATAGGAGGAAATAAAGACTTCAGAAGTTGAATCCATTCTGAAGTGACTTTCAAATAATCATTTTTTGCATCGGAATCGTTATCAAATGGCGTTTTGAAAGAGTCAAACGGTATGGTCGTGTCCTTTTGTCGTCAACCGTTGTGTACAAGGTTTATAAGGAATTGCGAGCTCAAAATCCACTAGTTTACAATTTATATAAGACCCGTCATTTACAGCTTGGTTTAGAGCTGATAGTCCACATGGAGAACGAGTTATTGACGATTCGGTTCCTTGCGTATCTATGTTCGTCATGTGAATGTTTATACTATACAGGTTTTGGTAATTATCTAAATATAATAATAATAATTATAATAACGCACACACTCATAGCCAAACACTAGGAAAACCCTGTGTCGTGGGTGCCATGAACACACGCGTAGAACACCACAAATCACACCAAAACTCACGAGATAAATAAATATAGGTAGATACAAATATACCTTCCGGCCCGGGAATCGAACCTGAGACCTCTGATGGCAGACCAGCATGGTAACCGTTCAAACAATCAAACCGAATGAGGTACTTTATGAGGCATCCATCACCTGCTTACTTAATGTAAAATTATAATGAAGTTTTTGCAAAAGGTTCTAATATTATAACAATATGATAATATTTTCAAGTGTATAATAATAGACAACATTTGAAACTAGCCATTTAAAATACTACTAAATACCATAGATTAAATATTAAATATTTAAATAAAGATGTTTAATAACATGTATTACGACTTTCCTACTATAACCAACCTAAAAACCCAGAAGATCGAAGCCTGTTTAGAAAGCGTCATCTTAGCTAATTAACTTAAATCATCTTAAATCAACCTCTAAATGCAACACATAAAACTCATTACGCATTTAACCCGTTAACTCTAAAGCGTGAAACACATAGAGAGCGGGTGCGGGTCGGGCGCGTGTCGGGTCGGGACCTCGGCGGGTCTAATTCCGTGTATTTACATGGCAACAACACACGTTTTCGATGTTAAATATAGGATATTATAAATAGTATTAGATAGTATAAATATAGGACCATTCTCATTTTTGCAATTTTTTTGTGCATAAACATTAAAAAACGAAATTTGTATTACTAAGTCAGTTCCTATTTAAAAATAATCGAGGTAGTTTATATTAATATGATTTTTATTTATAATTACACAATATAAATATTTATTTAAATCATCATTAAGAAAGTGACGAAAATGTCACTTCCATTTCGGGTGCAAATCCCATTTACAATGATACAAATTAAAATTAAATATCTTTTTTTTTCTATATTTTTTCGTCTATGTATTAAATATAGACGAAAAAATGTTCACCTCCATATGACCTCCATGCATAAACTTATTGAAGGCAGCCATTATTTATTAAATCAGTCAACACCTAAGGTCGTTTTCCAGAACTCTACTCAATGCTCAAGTCAGGATTTGAGTACGATTTCAAGCACTGAAAATACGACCCTAATGGCAAGGACTTGATGATTTCAAGCACTAGAAATCATACTCAAGTCATGACTTGAGCATTGAGTAGAGACTTCCTTAACATTGACGTTGGCGAAATCATCGGCAGTTTATAGACTTATTTTAACATGGTAGTATGTGATAGTGTCGATGGAACGTAATTGTACCTTTTTTATTTAAAAAAAAAGTCCTCATAAGTTCGTGGAATTACATCTATTCGCTAAGTTTTAATGAAATCAGTTACGGGAAAGTGTGCGAAACCGGATTCATCCCCTAATTTGCCACTTAGAGGTGGAATATTTTCTTCAAATTTAAGTGGGACCAATAGTGGGGTATACCCTCTTTCCAACAAAAAAAGAATCTTGAAAATCGGTTAACAAATTCGGAGTTATCGCGTAAAAAAATACGGTCGAAGTGATAACCTCCTCCTTTTTTCAAGTCGGTTAAAAATTGAATAGATTCTCCACATTCGAATGGAATAATCTCACACGTCAACGTCAGGATGAGGAAGAATGACAGGTTTAATGACATTTAACTTAAAAATTTTTGCACTATCCGACAAAGAAAAATAACAAACGCCGATGATTAAGGAAATTTTAGAGTGAAATTTACGACCTTTTCGCGGAAACACAAGACCCAAAATTAGTTATGACTTTTATTCGGCCCCAAATGAAATGCGGGGACTGCATAACACCCGTAACGCGACGACTTGGACTCTTTGATGTAAGTCTCTCTTAGTACGGACGTCCAATTTTTAGATTTACTTATGAAAATGAACTCTAATGCGGAGTGAGGAAGGATCATATTACGCCGCACACCCACTTATACCACCAGACTTTCTCAGTCTTATTCGCAAACGTACACACGATAATCATAGATAACTTCCATACAAGAATGTGTTGATAATGGAGTTGTAGTCTGTTTGGAGTACATGCCTTTAACAGAGTTAGAGGCAGACCTGGTTACAAAAGCTTAAGGCTTAAAGCCATGCATGAATTGTACCTACGTAAGAGCTTTAGATTTAGTTCAGGTTATGGAATTACTATTGTATTTTGTACTCTAGCACTAGGTATATAATATTTTCACGTATGATTGTTCGAGTAAGGGGCAGTATTGGAAAACCTTCTTTTGCTACATGCAGTGAAAATTTTCATTAGTGCCTTCATGCGGCCCCCGACATATCGAAAAAAAAAAACACTTTAAATACACGCATTTCCCAAAGACTGTGTGATCACGATATTTGCAGGCTAAAGACGAATATGAGTGCTATGCAGACAGCTACGTGAAGTGCTTCTGGGGCCTGTGCGATGCCCACCGGAGTATGGAAAGCTTTTCGAAAGTTAAATCGGAGGCTAGCGGTACAGTATGCCTGTTCTTTACTTTAGTACCTACTTTTATTTCATTCTGCTAGATGGGCGAGAAAAGCCCGGGATAGCAGTGAATGGCTTAAACTACTATTTTCAGCAGTGAGTAAAGTTGGACTGCTCGATCAATCTAAAGGAAATATATACTTAATTTTCCATCAAAAATATCCAAATGAAACGAATGTTCTCATATATTGTAAATCACTTCTTAGCGCGTTTTAGAATACACAAAAATGGTTCAACCCTATCTAGCGGCATCTTACCTAAACTATAGTGTTATGTTAGTAGAGGTCACAGACGTGCAGTAGTAGATCTGTATCAGTCGATCATGACTCATGCGTAATATGATCGGGTTAAATGATTCGATCGTATGTTCGGTCTTTTAGCGGGTCACCCTTCCTCACGATACTTCCACAATTTTTATTTTCTTTTATAACATCAAGTGACGGGACGAACAAGTCATGCGCCTGATGGTAAGCTACACGTCTGCAGATAACAGTTACGGTGCCACTCAGAACTTTAAATTGCAAAGATCTGAGGGGCACTGCCACTGCGCCTGTCACCCTGAGACGTAAGTTGACAAGACCCATGTGCCTGTAATTTCACTAGCACCCTTACCCTTCAAAACCGGAACACAATAAAGCTGACATTACTGCTTGGCGGCAGAAATAGGTAAGGTGGCAGTACGACACTGGATGAACTCTTTCGCAAGGAGCTCTACTGGTACTAAAATACCGTCTAAGTGTCAATTTATACAATTAGCCTTTATTCTTTTCTGCTGGTGGGTAATGCGTATAAAGCTAAATGCATCATTGATAAACCACACTTCTTTCTACGAAAAGGAACACCTACAAAACCAAAATACATAACAAAAAATTTATGAGCATTCAAAATTACTAATTTATTATTCATTCATATTCTTATATTAGCCAGTGCACTCATAAATAAACACAACATACCGAAAAACAAATTAAACTTACAAAATTACCATGTAATGGACAATACGCTAAGTATGAGTGATTGAATAGACTCATTGATCCATTGATCCGTCAACCCGTTGACTCGTTGATCGATTGCTTAACTTTTTGGTTCAATCGAACGAAGGTTCTATGGAACGAATGCTCTATCGTACAAATGTTCAACCCAAACGAAGAGTGAGAAGACGAACCGTGTGTGGGAACTTCACGTGAGAGTGAACGAGACAACAATAATATTGTTAATTGTTGAATAATCTCTAAAATTATAGAGATAAAGTCGAATACGCGCGCAAGCGCATGACCATGACCATGACGATGATAAAATGATCGGGTTATTTAGAAGCTTGTAACCCGGGTTACCGGGTCACAGGTGTTGTTGGAATCATTTTGATTCGATCGATCACGTCTAAGTAGTAGTGCCAACAGATGCAGTCGCGCCTATAGCATTCAAATTGCTTAGAAATACTATCTAACTAATTTTCAACCAAAATGTATTTCGTGACTACGCGCTTAGACTATCCCATATAATGTTAAACGTTGGATGATATTAGTTAATCATAATTTGTTTCTTAAATTCATTGTACCGAGACCACTTTACCTAACACCCGGAACAGAAACCTCTTCTGTTAAGATCGTCTAATTTTGCTAGGATCTCAAAGCAGATTCCTTACACTTAATTTTGAATAACAGAAGTTGATAATTTTTTGTTGCAGTTATAACGAAACAACCTCTTCGAGATACTAAAAGAGAGACGCTAAAAAAACGTACATTACAATTATTCACTAAGTAACAACAAATTTGGCCCTTGCTTATGCAAGAGCCTTTTTTTTTCACAATGGCTCTTTGAAAAAACAGCAATTAATTATGTAAGGACCAAAAATGTATGTAATAAGCAAGGATCTCATGTGTAATGTGTACTTTATAAATTCAAATGAAATTACAAAATTATCAGTGCAAAGAAAACAAAATATAGAATAATGCCATTTATTTGTTATTAAATTTTTCATCAGTTATACTAATCTGACTTTCATTTAATACTTGTCTTACATTCATGTTAATTCTAGATTCCTCTATGTAATTGTTAAATTGATTCCACATTTCATTATTTATACATTTTTCCATAACGGCAATAAGTTGGCTTGGGTTGGAAATATATTTGAAATTTACAACACTAGAGGTATTATCTGGAATTTCCAGGTTTTCGTGATTCCAGGGAGAAAATTCTGTAGGGACAATTCTAGGTACAGCATGATAGCATAACCTGGCTTCATTGGACATTATTATAATGTCTCCACTTTGAAGTAGGATAGCAGAAGGTTCTATTGATTTGTTCTTGCCTCCTATTAGGAAGATTGCTGATTGTCCAAAACTGAAATTAAATAAACAGAAATAAATATATTTTCTTAACCCATGGCAAGCTGTGGACTGTATAAATGGGTTGAATGATGAATATATTGTATTTTAGAGTATAATTTACCATATATATCTAAGAAATAGCTGGTTAGTTAACGAAACACTTCAGAAAATCTATGAATTATTGTTTCATATGAAAAATTCAATTCTTTAAGTAAATAACACTAATAACATAGTATTCTACTATGGTAGTAACATTGACAACACTAGACACCAGTGAGCAGCAGTTTCGATAACCTTTGAAACAAATACCCTACAACTACCTTTTTTTTTTACCCTACAACTACCTACCTAAAAGACAACAAAGGAGCCTCCAAATTAACTTCTGAATGGTCAGTATGTGCTGATAAAGTAGAATCCATATGGTAATAGTTGACTATTGCTGCCTCTGCTTTAAAGTTGGTGTAGCCAAGGTACTGGGCCACCACATCAGATAATTCTAATAAATCCTCTGGAAATGGAGTCCTACTTTCATCACTGTATACCTGAAAATATTGATAACAGGGTTAATTTCCTAGAAATCTAAATGTAAAATAAATAAACCAACCCTTCCTCTAGAATAGTGTTGCCATTACACAATTTTATTATTGTTAATCATGCACCTTTTCATCATCAATGTATTATATGTTAATAAACTACATAGTTTGCTATTATATGTGTTGGAATTAGGGTTGCCAGATACTGACTTATCATTTCTGGGACAACTCTACAAGTGTAAGGGAGACATATATGAAAATAAATAAGTTATTCATGTTAGGGCTCAATTAGGATCAATTTAATTTGATGGTCATAACATGGCCATAATATTGTATGCTACAATCCTTTGGGAGTTTTTAATACTCATTGAGTACCTAAAAAAATTTCACATCATTCGCAATCAATATTTCAACATTCCTTCGCATAACTACAGCACTGCATCTGGAGGACTTCTCTTATGAAAAGGGCTTTAGTAAGTTTGCTAAAACAACTTCTTAGTGTCTGGAATCTGGGACAGTAAAGTCTACTGGACATGGGACAAGACAAACAATTCCAGAACAATTCTACTTTGGTTGCAGGTTTGGTTTTCATCAAGCATGACATAGATAGGTTCTCAAATAAGTTAGTCAATATGCACTGGTGCATGCAGTCAAAATTGAGTCAAGGAATTTAGTAACCAACACTTAATGTCTAAAAAGTTGTGGTTGCAAATACCCTCTTAAAAAATAACATTTACTTTTGTATCCCAATTGTGATGATATCCCAAAGTAGTCCATCTCAATTTCTTCTGTAAAACTCTGTTACACTCTCCGTCTTTAAAACACTCCAACCACCAATCTTGAACATTCGTTTCTATATCAATATTTAGTTTATTTGGCTTTTTTGGATATTCCTGTAGGCATCTTTGTATCCAGTATCTTTGACCTGCATTTGTGAATGGATTTCGTATCAAAAGTAAGCCAGGGTGATTTTGGAAAGCAAACGTATGCCATAGTGACTGTTTTTGAAGTCCTAATAAAGCACCTCGCGGGTCAGTTTCTGCGTTTAGAGGTGTAACGGTGATCACCTATATAGAACAATGATGTATCTTAATTTGAAAATATAGCTTGAGCAAAGGTTCTTACTATCAAGTCCTTACTTCGTTATCTTTGAGAACATCAACCGACATAACATCATGAAAAGAAGGTTTAACCCTATTAGCCTTGTAATATTTGAACTGCTTTTTGAAATTATCTTCAAACTCAATAGAGTTATCTGGCATTTTCTCCACAAAATTCATGTTTTTTTTTTTGGAATAGCACTGCTTATCAATAACGTAACCTCTCACCACAAATCACTCACAATCACTTTTTTTTTATTGCTTAAGCCATAGAACAGTTTAAGTATTCGTTTCTGTATATGAATGGCAACCCAAAACATGAAATAAATTTTAAAAAGTTGTTCAAATGTCCGAATCCATAGCCATCGCAAGAAATTAAGTTGAAATGAAAGATTCGCTCTGGACCTTTTGGAGGGAAAAGTTACGTTTTTATTTTGACTTTCAATTATTTTGTGAAATCTAGTTTAAAGTGGAATAGGATAGTGCTATTGTGCCTTAATCGCAGATTAAAACGCGAAATTATACGAATCTCGAACTAGAATACCCGTAGCGGCCCGTTTTAAGGAATCCCGAGTCAATCCAAGCACGCCGCCTCAAATTGCCTATCCTCTTTGTGGCGGCCATATTTACAGAAACATAATTAAACTTCATGTTTAGGCTGATGGCTTTGCCAAAGCCTTAATAAATTAAAAAAAAAATTTAAATGAAAAATGAAATGTCAAAACAAACTGCGCATAGAACAGAACCGTATTGTTGTATTGGCGAAAAATAATTCGGGTAATTTAGGTTAGAATTTATAACCTAAAAACAGTACATAATATTAACAAAATATACAAAAAATATCGGTGGAAAAAATCATGAATCAAATAAGTGAGGCACCTGTGGAAGAAAACACTGAAATTGTAAAGGTAAATCAGTTGTTCATTTTCTTTTAGGAAATGAAACTATTTTTCCGGATTTAAATCGCGTATATTTGTTTTTTCAAACAAACCGACGTTTCGGGCCCTTTACAGGTCCCATGGTCACGGTTGACTTCTTCTTCTTTTACTTAAATCGTATTTTAACAATATCGATACATATTTGTGTTGTTTAACGTTAGCTTCGTCATAAACGTTTCAGGAAGAAATATTAGATGGTAAATCGAAGTTAAGAAAATGGCTCAATATGAACTTCAGGATTGAAATGACCGACGGCAGAGTACTTATAGGAGTGTTCTTATGCACTGACAGAGACGCCAACGTTATATTAGGTAAGGACTGATAGATTTATTTTTATAACATATTTAAATGTTGAAAAAAAACTATATAATAATAGTATACTATTGAAACAGGAATTAGATATTCCTAGGCTATGGGTTCATACTCACATTTCGTTTATGCAAACATTTGCTCAATGTACCAATTGAAAAAAATGCACATTTATTGAATTTGATTTTAAAATTTTTCCAGGAGCCTGTTCAGAGTACCTCAAAAATAGTGACGGAGAAACAGAAGAGCCCAGAACATTAGGGTTAGTTATGGTTCCTGGACGTCACATTGTCTCAATTCAGATTGACGATACAACTCCTCCCCAAAAATATTATTATGAAGACTGACTAATGCCAGCTGTGATCTTTGGTATAGTTTTGTTATTAAATCATTTATAGATTGTACTAATTACATGTTATGTTGTACATATTTTTCTTTGCTATTTTGGAAAAATCTATGAACCTTATTATGTAAACTTTTTACACTTTAGTTGCCAATGAGTACATAATTTACTCAATGTTAGTTGCTCACCCAATACAAAAACAAAAAAAAAACAGCTATAGATAACAGTGTTTCCAACTATCAAGATGCAAAAACTGTCAAAAAGTTGTACAAAGAAAATTACAAATAAATTGTGGATTGTAGAGTAACATTACATTTGCCTGAATTGCTGTTGACATGCAAATAAGGGAGTTTTTTAATCTGATTATACAAAAAACCTTCAGCCATATCCGGCATGCAAGAATCTGAAATTACTAGACATGACTAGGTATTTCTTTTGTAAAATACTAAAATAATGAAATATAATTCTTTATTACGAAATCATACTCTCTTTAAGTTTACAATCATCTGTTTAAAGACATCAGCTTCTAAGTAAATATTTTTTGAATAATTTGCAAAAGGATTGTACTCATCAACGGTTTTACTATTTAAAAACTCAGATAGATATTGTGTTAATTCTTGATACAGTAACTCAATACCCTTGTCTGTAAGGATTGTTTTCAAAAAGCTGATATCTAACATCTTGGTTAGACAAATGTAAGGGTGAAACACGTCAATTACAGCAGACAAATTGTTTAAAATTGTGATGCTTATCATCCTTACATCTTCATCTTCGTCTTGCAAAAGGACAACTGCAGATTTAATCACAGTAACTTTAACTACCTCAGGTAGTTCATCAAACGATTTACTCATTTCAGTATTAGCAATAGCTGCTATAAATCTTATGTCTGTATCTACCTCACAGTTACTTAAACTGAATATTACTTTAGCCAAATGCAAAAGCTGCTTTTTGTTTGTTGATTTAATATTAATTGCATAAATTCTAACTGCAAATGGTATTATATACCTCAATCGGTATGTGATTTCTCCTTCTAAAAATTTAGATATAATATCTACATATTCTTGCTCATTCAAATCTATTCGGAGTGATATTTGATAAAAAATTTGCCAAATTACACTGCTATCAATTTTTTTTTGATGCAACATTAAAATGTTTGCAATCTGTGACAATACTTTTGCAGGAATATCATCATGCTCTTCGATTTTATACAATAAAAGTTTCAAGTAACATTCACTGTCACATTGCAGTATGATCATTTTAAGTATATCTGGAAGTTCAAGCCATGGAACATGTTGTATAATTTTTTTAATGCGACTATTTGCCCAAAGGTAAACACCTGGTGCCTGATAATTAATCTTTAATTCTGACAAAGTTTCTTCCATCATTATCGCATCTAAACGGCGTTCATAAAACACATCCTCAAATATTTTTTTTGATAGATAAGAATGTATCCCACAGTTAAATAATTCAGCGAATTTTGTTTGCAGTTTCTCAAATTCCTCTTTAAATAACTTATTACCATAATGTTTAGAGCAGTATGTTATCAAAGTCAAACTGCCATGAATAAAATTTTCAGAATGGTGTTCTCGCTCTAGAAGGCAGTTGTAAATATCTTCAAATGAATACATATTGAAAATACTTTGGGCTGTAAGACGTCTGACGGTGTAAATTGAACTATCTAGAAGAAAAAATAAACTCTTCAGCAAATCTCTGTCAAGATCTCTGGTCTCCAGTCTGTCATATGAAAAATTATATCTCATTGCACTGTTGGCTAGCAAATTCAATAAAGGCATTAAATTTGAATGAAATTGAATTTTATCCGTGTAGTCCATGTTTTTAAGTTGACTTTGAATATATATCCATAATTTTGTAGAGTGTGTGCGAAATTCGTCGCTTGCTACAGTAGCTATCATTTCTTCTTCCATCCCTGATGCTTTCTTTTGACCAATTAATTTCGGTATTAGAGCGCCATATAGCTGGAGGGCTGCATTTCTGAAACCGTATAAAATCATAAATATCCATGCTGAATGATGAATAATTGATATGATTCAATATATAGTTTTTTATTTTATTAGCTTAAGTACCTTATTTGCCAATGAGGGCTTGTTAAATTATCAAAAGCAAGTTCTGCTAGTTCCGCTGAATAAAACATCATCTCTGAAGCCAAACTACTATCCGTTACTATTCGTGTTAAGAAATGGATATAAATTGCTTTGGGCAAATCCTTTTTGCAATCATTGTCTTGGTGATTCTGAAGATCATTTTGAATGTCTTTAGCGCTGTTACACGTTTCCAAGAGAATCTTCATAAAATAGTGGAATAAAGGCTGCAACACAAAAGATTTATTATTTCACCAATATTTTACATTATGGTTTGATGTGCTAAAAGCCCTTTAGCAACAGTAAAGCTCCTTGTGAAAGAGTTCGTCCAGGGAAGTACTGCCACCTTACCTATTACTGCCGCCAAGTAGTAATGTGAGCGTTACGTTAAGCGTTCCGGTTTTTGGAGGTAAAGAGGTGCTAGTGGAATTACAGACAAGACTTTTATGTCTCAGGGTGACTGACACAGTGGCAGTGCCCCTTAGATCTTTGCAATTTAAAACTGAATGGCGCTGCAACTGCTATGGACAGGCGTGTCGCTTACCACTAGACGCCACGCGTTTATTATAAAAAAAAAGAAAAGAAGATTATTACACGATCAAACTTTATCGCCTGTGTTGTAAAAAAAAACAGAACCCCTTGCAAGTAGCATGTAGATGGACCTTAAAACATACCTTGCCCTTTTTACTATCACTAGATACTATTCTGTGAACCATAACAGACAGCCCTGCTCCTCGACGCGTCACTGAAGCCATGCTTGCTTCTTCTATTAAATCCTTTAACTTTTCCTTTAACAGCGTTGAGGGCAAAGTCGATAGTTTCCAATCTTCAGGCAAGGATGTTAAATACAGTACGGCTTGTCCTGGAAAAGTAGATTCGCTCATGAAATTAGCTGATACGGTGTTTTATGTTTTAGTCTAAATTGAAATTGCAAGTGTCCGTCAGGATGGCTGGATCAAACGAGATATACAAATCAAACTGTTCTCATTGTTTACTACCTATTTTCTACTATATAGTATCTTTATTGACATATTTTATACCTTTGCGCTAACGGAAATATTAAAGAAATAAGGTGGCCAGCCATTCTGACGTAATTTTGGCTGGACCAATTTACGTATTTCATGGTTCTAGCAGTATATAATTTACTTTTTTTTATATAACTATTTAGTACCTAATTTTTATCTAAACATACTTTGTTTTTTTAGAAGCTTCTATTAAAGGTTATTTAAAAAAAATAAAACGCCTTTGCAAAAGGTATTTTCTAAAAAGACAGTTTATCTTTTCCATGTAATTGCTTTATAAATAACCGATTATAATTCGTCCGCATTCCTTAATACCTACAAATGGAATTAACATTTGTGACAGTGAATTCAACAAGTAATGAATATAATAATGATTATAAAATATTGCTTGCAAAGATAATCCAGAAACCAGAACCATTGTTGACCATTGTTGACCAACCAGAATGGCTGGCCACTTTATTTCTTTGATATTTCCGTTAGCGCAAAGGTAGTAAATATGTCTATAAAGGTACTAAATAGTGGAAATTATAGCATATAAATAGGCAATAAATAATGAGCAGTTTGATTTGCTTATCTCGTTTGGTGCAGCCATCCTGACGGACACAAATTGGAATTTTTTAATTTTTTTTTTTTTTTTTTGATGGATAAAAGGAAAATAATTACCTAATAAAAATAAAATTATATAATAATTGAAGCCGAATGGAATAAAGGAGCAAAGGTGTTAATTTATATAGATATACTGACCCAAAGCACTGCCAGCAGCTTCTATAGCGCCTTTATGTCGACAAGTTTCTAACACGTGAGTAATTATGTGAAGACACCTTTTGCAAACTTCCATTTCACTGTCTTCAGTTTGATATCTTATTATCAGTGACGATAAATCGCAAGAAGACTGGAAAGGGAGAACACGAATATTACTACTTCGATAGCCATTACTAGTAGCGATCCTACGAGTAATCACCACAGCATCAGTCGTACATCTCCGGTGTAAATTGACACACAGCGCCATCGAAAAGCTGGGTTTGTTAAGACCAGTTTAATAATTATTGTATTTGTGTCTAGTGCGTTGTGTGGTCGTCCGTATCAAAAGACCTCGAGTAGTCAAGAACCACAACAATAACTACTTCGATAACAGTTAATTCTGATAAGTTATCTATTTACCTTTACATTGAGCCAAAGACAGTTTAAAATAATCTGATGTAATCCCGATATTTTTGTCTCATCTTCATCACTATTTGTGCATCCAGACACTGATATTATGTTCTGTACCATATCACTCATTTTGGAGAAATCAGAACTTGTCGAACTTTCTCCATCCCAAAAAAATTGATTTGATACTGCATCTAAAATGTCTATTAATTCTAAAATTCTCACGTCCGGTATTTTATTGGAATGATGATGACAAACTTCTAACACCGCATGTAAAATGGACATAAATGAATGTAACTGTTTTCCATTTTCAATGGTTTCTATTACGCCTCTTTTTAATTTGTATTCATTAATTAATTCGTTATTTGCAAAATTAAATATGTCTTCGACACTTTTTAATTTCGCATCAATATTATTGTCTTTCATCAGCAAATTTATAATCAATTTGAACATGCTTTGACCGCAACTAATTTCGTAAAAGAATTTGCTTGCCAAACTTTTTAATGCTTGTTCTATTAAATCATTTAATGTCTCAGTTTTGGTCAACTGTTTAGAAAAATGTTTCAATAGCAAATGGGTCACATTCTCCCTTATATCTTCTGCGGGGTCATTCAACAAACTTAGGAGTTTCTTAATAAATGTCTCTTGATTCATCATCCATTGCCCTTTTCGTTCTAACATTCTGATCAAAGTAACATTTGATTGCCGCGTCTGCTTTTGCCGTTTTCTGGGAACGTCAGTCAATGCATTCAAAAACGTATTTGCTAGTTTTATGCAAGTAATCTTCCGCTGATAATTCCCATTCATAAACAAACAATCAATTAAAAACTGCTGGAAGGACTTGAAAAATATTTCCAAATTTTTTACGTCATCGTTTATATCATTGTTCATGTAATTCAAAAACGTAATATGAAGTCGATTCAGAAAATTACTAAAGCTGTTCAACATACTAATTCTTAAAACAGTACTATCGGAGTTCACATTGTTTTTCAAGAACTTTAAAATTAACTCGTACTCCACACTTGAAGGCATAGCTTTCTCCTGAGATACACATACAATATCAAAGGCCAACATTCTTACATAATTATTATAGTTGTCTAAACCTTCCATTACCATTTTCTCTTTATAACCAATGGAATCCCAAGCTTTGATAACAAAACCGAGTTTATTTGCCTGTTTCAATACACACAGAGTACTATACAATTTGTGTGCACATTCTCTTCCATTTTGTAACTCATTCATAATAATTTCCACCAATGTTGGATATGTTTTCAATGTTGTGAGACACCAGTAATTATTAAAATTTTCTATTGCCTTACTCGAAGGACCATTTAAAATATTAATCACTGGTTCCAAAAATATACGGCACCACATTTCAGTTGTGTTCAGTTTCTTGAAAATTGCATAGTAGAGGTCTGCCCCGGCAGATACTAAACCAGATTTATGTAAGCTGTATATAAGACCATCAGTCCAATTATATGTTTGAAGTAAGTTAACAACATCCTTATTGCATTGCCCTACAATCTCAGTGAGCATTAAATATTTAGCTTTATTCCAATAAAAGCAATTTATTTCTTCAATTACTTGTTTGTACATATTATGATTGACAACAGACATCAATGTGCGGAATATTGTCCTGTTCAAATCTCTTACACCTGATATGGGATTTTCCCAGTTGTGGTTGGTCAGGTTGAGCAGTATAACCTGGTTTTCCACACTCAACAAACATTCTTGTAACTCCGTTCCACAAACTTTTTTAAAGGAACTAATGGTTTTAAAAGCAATGAATGTGAATTTTGAATATTCATATGCTACTTTTGTGAGTAATTTAAATGAAGCTTGTAAGACGGATAGAAGATTTTTAGCTTTCACATATTTTTTAGTAAGGAATGATGATTGAAACATTCCATACATGAGAGAGATAACTTTTGACGTTTCTAAAGAAATTTTATTATCTTCCCTTAGTGTTATCTCGTTTTCAAGTAGCTTTAATACAGCATTACAAAAATACTCTTGTTTTTCTGTTGGTAAAAGTGTGAGAACAGAATAGAAACAAGTGGCGCATAGCAATTGATCATCAAACTTACTAAGACCCTTATTCAAATGTGTCCATAGTGATTCAGATACTTCAATCCAAAATATTTCATTTTGCGTTTCATTGCATCCTTTTTTGATTTTGATTAACAGCTCCTGAAATTTATTAAGATCAACATTATTTTTTGTTAAGTACCTAAGACTGGTAACTGTGCTAAGACTTGACATCCTAAAACTGATTTGGCATACTCATTCCACCCGAGATCCTTCAGGAATCTTAGCATCTTGTATAGTTTGCTAGTTAAGCTTAGGTATTACAAGTACTAGATAAGAAAGTACAAGGTTCCCAGTGGAAGTATAAAAGGAAGATACAGCTGGACATTGGCGATGATCGCTATATTTTTTATAATATTTTTAAAATATAGTTTTCAGAGAACAGTTGGTGGATAAAGGCCTTTGTACATGGTACAGAACCATTCAGAGTAATCCATAGTGGGTATGGTTTGATTCTGTCAATATAGCAAGGAAATATCTTGTATCTGCTTTTAAACTGTGTTCTGGTCACATTCCAATTAATAAATTCTTTCATATTATGGGTTTTAAACCATCCCCATTGTGCAGTACTTGCAATAAAATAGAGGATCTGTATCATGTATTGGTGGATGTAACTGTAACGTAACCCTGAGAGGTACAATGTTTGGGAATGTAAGTTTATGGACAAATTAATTGTTGGCTCAGAGAGCCTGTTTGTATTCAACTGTTTGCACTCTAAACTTGTACAAGTTTTTGAACATGTCCCTTGAGTAGGGAACCCAGTATTCCTCCCATGAGGCTGATATAGTCACTCAAGGTGGCCTCAATAAAAAAATAGATTAAAAAAAAGATATATTTATAATTACTAAATATAACATTCAATACTGGCGAAAGTCTAAAAGTCAACAACAATAAGCAAGAAGCAGAAGGTTCCCAGAATGACCAACCACCATACTCAACCACCGCTAATCCACTTAATCTAAATTGGACGTAGAAAAAAAAGATCTAATGCACATCCAGTCACTTTTGAGATACGGCGGTTTGAAGTTTAAAAGTGTTACTCACTCTTATTTTATTTTCAAAACTTATAATGTCATGTAACTCCAGATATATTTATTTATGTTAATATGTTGGATTTTTTGCTGATCTAGTTAGACTTAGGAACTGTTTGGAACATAGAACTCATTTTTTGATAATTTTGTGGATTGGGTCCTTTTTGCTTAACTACATCCAGTTATTATTGTATGTATTGTGATTTCAGTAGAAGAATAAGGAGACATTTTCTGTACCAATTGTTAAAAAAAACTCAGTGTAACAAATTTTAGAATAAAGGAAATAACAATTTTTTTAGACCTAATTCGTGACATGGACCTGTAAAGGGCCCGAAACATTAGGTTGTATGAAAAACTAATATACGCAATTTAAATTTTTAGAAAATGGTTTCATTTCCTATGTGTAACAATCGCAAAAACCTTAGAACTCAAATTTTAGAATCGTAGTCAATCACGCCTTTTTTAATAGTAATTACAAGAAGTGCGTAATAATCAAAGTGTAATTTATAAACCTAAGAAATTTACCTGTATAGTGTCAGCTCTCAATTCATTTGTTGAAATTTGTATTCTGGACAATACATCAATCGTGTCTTCTTCCATTTTCGAACTTCACATCTAATCTGTAAAAGAAATCATATATTTCTATTACCATTTATGACTTCAAAAAAGAAAACTATTAAAACAAAATTATATTACCTAAAACTGCTTGCGAACAAACTGTAACCCCAGGGTATTCAATGTTAAGGGAAAATAAAAGCCAATAAGTTGTTTACAGTTATTGTACTACATTAACTATATTTACAAAACAAGATACATTATTTATAATTTTTGTTCTTTAATGGGTTCATAACCCTCTTTCTGCATTTTCTCTTTGAATATATTAAAGTCTCGTTTTCTATCGAAATGCACCACCCATTGAGAAGGACAGGATTTTTCAAAAACTTTTCTTAATTCTAAACATGCTTTGGGTTTCTCAGTACTATCTTTCACATTATTGTCGTCCAGACACTCCCAGTATTTATCCCTTGAGTCCCAGCATGTTTTTCTCTGTTGCTTATCAGGAAAGGACATCTTTTCGTCAATAAAGACCTAAAATACATTAAAAATACTTTTAAATCGGTCTCTTTTACGAATTTAGAGGTTAGAATTGGTATGTATCTAATAATATAAAAGATTTGAAAACTTACTCTTTATACTGTCATACAGATTCCTTGGATTTTTGTTAATAATTGTTTTATATAATATTGGGCTTACTCCATAGAACAGATAAAATTCTAAAATCAAAGTTCTTTCGACTAACCTGCAGCCCCATCCATTTGACAAATGCAATTGAAGTGAAGTTACGTCTGCTGTGTTGCCAATTTTCGCAAGCGGTAGCTTTCTTTCGATGCGTTCAAGGTCAATTTATAATTCGTAAAAATTAAAGATTGCAACAAAATAAAACTTCGTACTTTAATTTGTACCTTGAATCATTTTATTTAATTCTTGTACAAAATTTGAAACTAAATCCAGTTTATTTAAAGTAAAGAAATGAAAATGCTTCCAGCTAGATTTCGTCAAACTTTGCACCAATGTTGTTGCAGATTCTACGCCTGACTTTTCTCCATCCAAGACCTCGTCAGGCACTTTTATTTTACACAAATTACTGAAACCTAGGAGTTCATTCTTGGTTTCATAGACAAACATGCCAGGGATGACTGGTACTCGAATACCAGCTTTAACACATCGGACTAAGAAGTTGTTATACGACAGCGGCTCGAAAAAAGCCTGTGTTACTATAAAGTCTGCACCAGCTTCGATTTTTTGCTTCAAAAACAGCAATGCACTGTCAGAACAGTTGGGAAAACCCGCTACACCTATGCAGAAGAAATCGCCGCTTTGTTGTCTTATGTACGCTATTAATTCCTTCGTCAATTTAAAGTCCGAATTTATGTAGTCATAGCTCTCTGCAATGAAAATAAAATGGATTAGCATATTATTTTCTTGTTGTGTATTAAAGACCAAATTAGAACAAATTATGACGGTACTACTTGATTCGTTAACGCTATTATTGATGTAAATACCTATAGATTACGTAGTAGGTAGGTAGGTAGCTACTTGCTTTAATCTTTTGAACAACTACGAAATCTATTTTCATAGGCTTGGTATTTCGAGGAGTACATTACAATAATCACGAGGCATTTTCTTATAAATTATTCCATATGGCATATACATAATCAGAATAAGAGCTAGCTAGTTACAAAGGTCAATACTCACCTCCGAAAACAACAAACAAGTTACAAATTCCATAGTCTTCTAGGTATCGTAGCAATTCATTTAAATAATCCCTCTTTAATAAATCACAAGATAAATGTAAGCATACAGTTCTGCCTGTACTTCTCAAATACGTTGCTAGTTTTACAGGTGGAATATCAAAGTCTTTAAAATCATATGATTTCGCGTGCCAAGTTACGCAGAAAAAGGCAGGCTCAACCGATAGCTTATCTATTCTACTTTTTTCGATATCGGGTGTCACTTCAAATGAAAAGGTTAATTTATCACTTTTGAGTAGATCTGTTATTCTATTTATCCAACTAGACATTTTATTCACTTGAATGCAAAGAAACGAACTGACTTGATGAAATCATAAACGTTATGTTGTATAGACTTGACGTATTCGGTATGCTAAAGTGGTAGCAGCGTCTAAGCCACTTACTGATAACGCTGTTTGAGTGACATTACTATAACTACCACTACGTAGGTATGTCGGTAAGGGTGATAACTGATTGCAGGCATACATTACGTTTTTCCTCTTTTGGTTATTGTTTGTTAACATTGAGGTTATTATTTGGTTAACAGAATACTCACACCTACAAAGGCACTTTTCGAGTACTTAGGTTTTCCCGATTGCACACACATTGTAAATGGAAAATATTATTTTGGGATCTGGTAGCAGTAGAGCTGCTCATGAAAGAGTTTGTCCAAGGAAGCACTGCCACCTTACCTGTTACTGCCCCCAAGAAATACTTCATGTGATTGTGTAAAATTGAGGATACACACTGATTACTATACGGTGTGAAAACATATTCCCAAAAATTTACACGATAGACAAAAAAAACACAAATTTACCGCTGTGTTCAGTAGGTGCTTTACATAAACCAATGATTTATTTTATTCAATATCAACTGAACTAAATAGATCACGTATAGTATGATATACATTTTTGAAATGGCTTCAATTTCGTTTGGTAACAAACGAAATTGAAATTCGAACTTAGGGGGTATCGACCATATATATAGGAAATCGACTCTTAATACAAAGATCGAATACAAACAAAAGTTCCTTCTGGACTTTCTGAATCTGCGTCTATATGCCAAATAAACCAACTTCATACATTCAGTTGATTCTGGCTCCGAATTATTTAGTGGTGATCAATTGGTGTTGGTAGCTAATCAAGGGCACAGGTCTTGGATTTTGCGACCCTGACAATATAAAATTTGTTTTTAAGCCCTGGGAGAGCGAAATATAAAAATACTAATAAAAATTAAATACTAATAATATTAATGAAAATGAAAATCAAAATTTATCTTTCAGACATGAGAGAGACGAGAATCTACAGTATAATCTGGCTTTTTTGAAGATGGAGTAAAAATGATAGTACATTGCGCAAAAGTGTTGCTCGCTTGCGAGCAGCTAGTGATTGTCGTCGATAAATATTCCGTCGACTATCGACTGAATATTGGTCACGCTTATGGAAAAAATAGCCGAACTTGTTTTATTTCAATCATCCTCGACCCATTTTCATTCATCTAATTACTGAGCACAAGTTCATTTAAATTGTCAATTTTTGTAAGTTCATACATGCATACACTATATTTAGAACTATGTATTTACTACTATAAAAATATGTTTATGAAAAAACAAACAGGAGCCATATTTCAAAATTTTTCATTTCAATACAAGTAATCAAATCCGGGCATTCTTGTTAAAATGTAAATGAATAAAAATTCATCTTGATACTAGTAGGCAAACTGTCAAAACAAGAATAAAGAAGGCAATAACGCAATTACTAATGATTACAATGTCGTAACTTTCACAATTTAGTAATTTTTGGGTAAATTTTATCTTCTTTCACAATCTATCGTTAACAACTACATAACTATATAAAATTTTATGAAAACTGGCAACCCTACAAATGTCATTTCACTCCGTCTTCAAAAAAGACGGATTACAGATATCCAGAATAATTGTAATGCGAACGTTAATAATTTATTTAATTCATATACTTAGAATAATAACGCATATAATGATAGTTTCATATCAAACGAACTGTCACAAGTGAGGCAAACATCAAATTCATGTAGGCTAGTTTTAGTAGTACGTTAATTTTCGGTTTTAGTGAATATTTATGTAAAAATACAAGTTGAAACGCGTTACTTCCTTGTGGAATGTGATGTCACTATCTATTTTATGCTTGTCTGGCGTACTTTTACACTCATTTACCGCACATTTCGTCATTTTTAGCTAAATTTCTGGAGCTGTTTGCGGTGCAAGTTGACATTGAGCACTGAAGGCCCGCCCGCTCGTGTAGGCCCTTTGGGAGCGCTTCAATTTGCCTCACTTAGCGTGTGCGGGCTAGGTTTCTATGCGTTATTATTCTAAGTTCATATGTTACAAAGTGCGTGAAATGACGCAGTAGTTTCCTGTATATTTTGAATAGGTAGATAAGTTGATATTTTTAATACGTTGACACGTTTTCAGGATCCGATAACAATTCTAATTTAGATACAAAATCAGTAATGATTCGAGTTACTATGTCAAAATTCGTCACTCGAGTGTGATTTTTATTCTTCTCCCACGATCTCAAAATTCATAGTTATAAATACATAATACTTCTTACAATAAACATATAAATGACTTATGAAGTTCTTAAACATTTCACAACAAATTTTTGACGTTGCGAATTCGCATCACGCCGACTAGTCGCTGTCACGGTTCGGGTGATTCATTCCTTTGACGATCGTCAACCGTACTGAACGTATTTTTTAAACTAGGTAGCGACGTGGATCGTAAAAACAGTATTGCACTGCTGTTATTGATAAGAAAGTATAGGAAAAAAATACAGAAGATTAACATCACAGGAATGTGCGATGCTATTCGCAAATTCTTGCGAATCGTCGTGCGAGCTCGTAGACTTCTGCATAGCGACATCGCATCGCAGTTTTGTGTTACGACCCTTCTACCAAAGGTAAATGGCAACTGAATAAAACCCGACGACAGCCGAAACACGAAGTTTGCCGAGGAACATTGCGAGAATGAAGCTCTATATCATACTATTCCTGTCCTGTACGTTTTCGCGCACCCTGGGCGCTACCTAATTGGGGAGTACCTAACCTGCAGCTTGATTTTGATTGCCTCTCCCGATCGAAAACTGCGTCTTTTTCGAGTCGAGGCGCATAATTGCGATTCACAACTGACCGATCGGAAACTTTTGAAATTTCTAATCGGAACAATAATTGATTTAACTCATAAATTAGAAAGATATAGTGGAATCAGGTTCATCTTCTCGCTCAGAAACCTATCTGATTTCGCGACTACCCGAGCGGATCTTTTCCGATTTGAATCAAAATCAGCACGCTGACCTGACGTTGATTGGAAAATCTTTTCACCGCGATGGCAAGCATTATGGTATATGCCATCGATACGACAAGAAGAAGTGGTAATAATTTTGTCAATAACCAAGGAAGGGCGCGTTCCCTCTATGTCGTCACGTTTTATTATCGTTGGACGACTGTCGTGTCTAGCCAGTTCCCATAACACGACTATCTGTCGTGGACGATTTTTTATCGTTGAACGACTGTCGTGACTAGCTGTTCCCACTAGATTGTGACGACAATAGGAGCTGCGACAATCTGTCGTCACGTTTTTTTATCGGCTGACGACTGTCATTCTAGCTGTTCCCACTGTAACGACAATTTGTCGTTGTAACGATAAAAAATCGTGAACGACAGTTAATCGCGTCGTGCTATATATGAACAACTTCATTTAAATTTCCTAGCCACGACACTGTAAACTGCACGACAATCTGTCAAGTCTTAACTACTAAAATTAAAATCGCTTATAATTTAACTGTTATAATTTTAGTTCTGTAACAAACTTATTAACAGGATCTAATTTGTCTATAGTGAAGAAATGAATCTGTTTTATTTTAGGGTCTGTGTTATATATTTGGCTAATGAATTTCTTCTGGTAATTAACTGGTGATTTTTTGGTTTCAGCTATGACTTCTTTAGGTACACTGATGCCATATTCTTTAGCTAAATATGTTAGTTCCTTTTCTGAGTTGTAGTAAAATATACCAGGAACTATTGGTATGGTGATTCCGATTTTTGCACATTTTTCTATGAAGGTTTTGAAGGAAGTTGTGTCGAAAACCCCTTTTGTAATTAAGAAATCCACACCAGCCTCCACTTTAGTTTTGAGCTGTGCTATTACATTTTCGGGACAGTTGGGGAATCCTGCTACTCCTATGCAGAAGTAATCCCCAGCCTGTTTTCTAATGTGTTCAATAAGTTCTTGACTAGACTTGAAGTCAGTGCCCTTACCATCGTAACTTTCTGTAAAAAACATAAAATACGATTAAAATATGTATATTATAACTTTTGTTTGAATGAATGAAATAAATAAATAAATATACAATAAATAATATAACATCACATACGTCGCTCTGATCCCAAAGTAAGTAGCCAAAGCACTTGTGTTATGAAAATCGGAAACAACGACGGTACCACAAACACCCGGACCCGAGACAATACAGAAAAGCTAGTTTTCTACACAGACCCGGCCGGGGACCGAACCCGAGACCTCAGAGATGGATACACCATGAAAACCGGTGTGCAAGCCACTCGACCACGGAGGCCGTAAAAATAATTTCGTAACGTAAAATAAATTACTGAACTTAAGTACAAAATAGTAAGTTAATGTGCAACATGAAGCCTTATTGCTATGTAGCAATTTCTTCCAGGCAACCTGCATAAAATTGCCTTCTTATCGGATATATCTCGGAGAGTGTGCAATATTTCACGATGCGATGTAACGACGACTTGTAAGGAAATGCGAACAATACGAATGCGGAAGATCTCTCAGCACGAACTGTAGACATGTCTAAGTCAAGGTTGTTGCAGATGCAGTTTTTTTACACATTAGCAGATGCTGATGTTATGCATTTAAAAAAACGCTAAAAATGTACATCCTCACTGAATCTATCTAAAAATAAAATATTATTGCTATGATTTTGTATGTTGTTGTTTGTGTTGATCTGCCTAGCTTCATCGTTCTAGAATTTTATCAAAGTTATATTTTAAAAACAACAGCTAAGCTGCTTTTTCGGCTAACAGTCTGTTTATGGAAGGTGTCTAAATTTTAGTGAGTCCGCGAGTAATTTTAGACATGAGTCACAACTCGAACGTGCGGGGGCTGATGGGAATTCGGGTATCTTAATTTGTGCAGATTATCCGCGGATGTGGATGCTGATATTCGCAACGACTCCTAAATTCAAGCTTAAAGACCGCTCTTAAATGATATAAGGTACTCACCTCCTAAAATAATAAATAAGTTGCAAATTCCATGCTCTTGCAAATGCCGTAGCAAGCCGTTAAGGTAATTTTTTTTCATCAAATCACATGTTAAGTGCAAACACACCGTCTTCCCTTTATCTCTTAAATGCTTTGCTAGTTTCACAGGAGCAATGTCGAAGCTTTTAAAATCGTAATTCCTCGCGTGCCAAGTCACACATACGAAATTTGTATTAACTGATAATATGTCTAACTTATCCCAATTCACATTCGGGGTCACTTCGTATGAATACGAAAATTGGTTCAAGTTTTTCAAAATGTTTGTTATTTTCTTATCGCTTGGCATTTTACTTGTTATGAATTAAACTAAGCCACTTCAGTATATGTTCTGTAGAACAATTACACAAACGTACAAATTACAATTTACGCCAGATCAATCAAAGTTGAATTCCTTCGACTTTATGAAAATACCCCCACTTTTTAAATATTTCACGGCTTCACATTTACAAACAGCTTTTGATTGGCACTTCAATCAGTTTGACAGGAAACTGATGTTGTATTTAAAATAAATCGAGTAGGTATGAGAACTCTATTGCCCAACTCGATGAGAAACTACCGACGCTAACCGTTGTATAATCGATTTTGTTACTTGGATAATGCGGCATTAGGGTTGGGTCGCACTTGTTAGACACGCATTCGTATTTTGACTGTCAATATCACCTATTACACCAGTACCGCCGCACCACATCGTGTCGTCATGACCTCGAAGCCCGTTAGCATGCATAATCACGCACGATACGCACAGTGTGATCATGGTATAGGTAGTAAAGAAACGGTATGTCTATTCCCTAGCTAACTAAATACACAACACCTATTTCTGTCGCCAAGCAGTAATGTGAGCATAACTGCGTTCCGGTTTTGAAGGAAAAGAGTGCTATTACAATAGTGTTGTACCCAAGGAGAACTTTATACGCCTTAAAACTGTTATATCTATAAACAGTCTTAATATGGTATGGTATACATTTAGATAATAGTTCTCTATAAATGGTTTTAGAAAAAAGAAATTGTTCATAGAGACTTATTTCACTCAAGTCCAAATTTTAAAACCTTCTTAATACCAAACAACTTAATTAAGTGTAATCTCTCTTAAGATTTACTCTTATAGTCATTGACTTACAAATAAATGGACGACGGGTCTAATACAAAAACCACGAAAAAAATGTCCCAAGTCAACCTATTCGAAATTTAAATTGTTATGTCATCGCAGTATCGCGCTGTCCGTAGAACAAATGAAGACTAAAGCGGAGTGTCGCGCTCTGTATACGATTTTAGCGCCTTACAAGTGCGGACACTTTTTAGCGCGGACCCGACGTCCATATAATTGTAAGTCAATGCTTATAGTCCTTATTTTAAGTTCATCTGTAGAACAACTTATTATTTTTAGTAAAATTGTTCTATACACATCCAGTAAAATCTATTAATAGTCTAAAAACTAGTGTTCTAAGTCACATCGTTCGATGCAATCAGCGTTGCCATCGCCAATTGTTCAAAATCCCAAATTTGTTATTTGTTACAATCCCCAAATTTGGGGAGAGCAAAGTTCATTTTCCCAACAAATTCCCCACATCTCGAGTTTTCATTATTTATTAGAAATACATCGCTTAAAAATCTAATAAAGAATTAAGAAACTCAAAATGTAATTATCTATTACGTTTGCTGTGAATGTAAAATGTAAAACTAATTATAGAATTAGATGACCTTAAATCGTTTATTTATTTTAATTAGATTCAACATTAGCCTGTAATCAGTCTTTGAAAAATTTTTATTTTCTTTGCCTTACAAAATTAAGTAAATTGATTATTTGTTGTGCATTTAGTGACACTATGTTAATGTTAGAAATAATCAATAAGTTTCGACCTATATTTAATATTTAAAGTTGACGAGTGGTAAGTTATGGTGTGGAAGTACCAACTGCTCGGCTTTGTTTATCAATAGCTGATTTCGTTTTGCTTTATACCGGGGACCGGCCTAAGCGGGAGAAAGAATTGCGAACTCAACACGCACCGACTGGTAATTTTACAATTCAGAATCAAGGGCTCTAATAATAATTCTATTTAAGCTGCTTGTTAATAATACGAGGGATGTGCGATGTTGAAAAACACGTCGATATAGTACATCACAGTTTTTCTAACAGTAACGAACAAACTAGCGATGCATCAGCAATTGACAGATTAAACAAAATGATAAAATGTTAGAATCCCCACATTTTCCTCACATAGCGCCAATTTCACAAAATCCCCAATCTAGTTGAAATTCCCCACAATTTGGGGAATTCCCCACAAATTGGCAACGCTGAATACAATAGTCGTAATTCGCGCACGAGCCGGTCATGACCGGTCATGTTTGTTGACAAATAAACAAGGAGTGATAAAAACAATTGAAATGAGCGCGTAAACTACTGTACTTCAATGTTGTGTATGTGTATTGTGCCGTCTATCAATAGAATATAGTGAAATCATTGTGTGAAATGTGGTTGCGTGAGGAAAAAACCTCAATTTTGTAATGAAAATTTTATTTCTTCCAACATAAGTTAGGTATGTCATTAAAATATTCCTTATATTTATATGATATAAGGAAGAAAGCTCAAGTTAAAGTGGTCGATTTGAAACGAAACAATTGACGACACCCGTTAATTGTTTCGAATTCGGGCTGGCCAATCGGAGCACAGTCGTTATCGTAATGATGTGGCAAAATAGGTTTTCAAACAAATTAAAAACAATACAAAAAACAACATTTTCGTCTCTATTTTTGGTTATATACTCGATGGACGCGATGCTGTCGCGTACTGACAAGAAGATTCTAGCCCTAAGGAAATTATGAAGACAAAAATCAAGGTTACCCGTTTTATTTAGTTTTTTTTATAAGAGTGAATAGAAGTTGCAAAACCACAGAGGCAGCCGGATCATTGCGATGAGGACGGGTTCACAAAGGTGGTGAAGAGAAAGAGGAAGCCCACCAGCCGTACATTTGTGGCACAGCACCGACAGGATCGAACTTACCTGTACCTGTCGCAACCACGAAGTCTGAGGAAATAGTGGAGTACATCAGGCTAAAAGCCAAATTCACCCTGAAGGTCGAGCGATTGGAGTTCCATCACAACGTAAATTTTAATTCGTTTGTGGTGAGAGTACCGACCGAATATCTGTCGGCCTTCATGAAGGACGAGTTTTGGCCGAAGGGTGTCATATATCGGCGATTCTGCGGCCGGTTACCTGACACCAGATTGCGCCACACGTCGCCGACAAGGGCAATACGTGTAGATTAGTTGTTTAGTTTATTTTATTGACATATTATATTGTATGTATGTTAGTCCTTATGGTATATATTATATAGGTCATGTGGCCTGAAATAAATGTATAAATAAATAAAATAAGAAATAAAATGGGTAGAGGTGTTAAAATTGAAACAAACCATGGAATGTATCATTGTATTGCCCGTCTACACATCGAGTATCAGCCAATTCACAACCAAAATTTTGTTAAAAACAACAGAAACGTGTAAAATTGCTACTGGTACGAATTGACTAAAGCGGGACATTCGCTATCCAACAAAAATGTTGATCGTCATAATTAATAATATACAATAGAAAATAAATTAATTCTCAAGAAGATTTCTAGAACTACAAATTTCGTACTTGGATTAGCACATTAGTTTGTTTGTAAAGAATGTTTACTAGTACACTTTGTTTTGTTGGTTTGTTGTCCGATATGCAGAGTAGCTAATGTTCCCCTTCAGTCCTTTAAAGCCGTTACAATTTATCGAGTACATTCATATTTAATGTTCGTTCCTACTTTTATCTACGTTTCTTTATAAAATTGACTACTTACACTAATGTCTCTAAATAACTGCCGGTTATATGATAGCTTGATGATAAAATGACGATATATATAATACAATGTTTATTAATATACTAATCGTGTAAAAAGCTTCCAAACACCTAAACTACAATTGTCTAATAATTGTCTTACAGAAGACTACTTTATGTGTAATTTTACTTACGTATAAAGTTATTGTTACGGTTCGGTAAAGCTTCTTAAGTTACTTTATGAACCATATTGTTCATCTCTTATTGCTGTGGCAATTATTTTGCGGACATTGATTAGGAGATAAATATTGACGAGCCATTCTAATATTCTCTTAGGGTGCGTTTACAGGAGTTACATTCGAACTGCATCACAAATGCCAACTGCACGCTATCTGCAATACAACTGTAAGTTCGGCTGAAGATTTATTATTTGCACCGATGAATGTTATCGCTTGCAACGGTTCATCGTTGCTATTACAATAAAAGGTAGTAAAACCGTTAACAAAATATAAGTTTGTTTTAATTAGAGCGTACATGGAGTTAATGATGTTGGTCCATCGACATGTCATGCGAGTAGGAGTTGAATGCATTTTCCGATTTCTAGTTTTTAACTATTTCTTTATACATCATATCATTCTTGTAAACACTTTTCTTCTTAATTCAGCAATTTAGATTCAGTTAGTTACGCACAAAGATTATCAAGTCAAGAGTTAAATACCAGTGCATAACTAGTTGTAGTTACCGACACGGCTCACTCTTTTGTCCTATCGTACACGTAAGATAAAGCAATAAGACGAATCGGTGCAAATAATATTTCGTCAACTATGCAGCTGGCTTGCACTAGCAATTCTGCTGTGTGCTGTGCACTGCTATGTTACAATTGACGTGCTGTTGGAATGTAACTCGTATAACTACGCCTTTAGAGCCCGCCAGAGTCATCCACTAGATACCAACATTGACGCACCAGTATTCGTATACAGGGTGCCTATGAAACAGACGCCAAGACTTTACAGATTTATCAGTGCAATCTTACTCCACTAAACGATTCATGAAACTATATGCCTGACCGGGTTGTATTGATGATTTAAGATTATTAAAATTTTTCACTATAAAGTCTGCGATCGGACGTGGATCCGAAATATTTCTGAACGGTTTTACAAATTCAATAAAAAAAGAGTATGTTATTATCTAGTTACAAAAATATACTACACACATAGCAAAATGGAAAGTTCTTAACATTATTCGTTATCATCTCAACGGAGAAAAATAGGCAGATTTTTGTGATTTCTTTGTGAGTAACATTTAAAAATCTTTGCCATAGTTCATCTACACTAAAAGAAAAAAAAACATTCTCTCATAATTATAATAATAAAGATTGTATACGGCTATGGAGTGGAATTCCCTGCCTGCAGACTTGTGCCTTGTTCCTTTCAAGGCGAGAGTCAATAGGCATTATTTAGGTGTACATGCTCTCTCGTCAACGTTATTGTCACTTTCTATCGGGTGAGATGTTAAATAAGCGCTCATTTTTTATAAAAAAAGTATAGAAAAGTGAAGATAAATTTAGTTTTCCGCGTCGACTAAACATTACACAAAATATGGGATTCCTTTCCAATGTAGACATCATA